TGGACCAGGGCATCACAGCCTCACACTCCTCTCATTTTCGGCTGAAAATGTTAGGCTCAAGAACAGTCTTCCATGCCATGCAAATCACCTTCTAGAGAGAGCTAGAGAACCGACTAGAACATCCCCTCACTTGGCTTGGATCATCGATCCAGAGATCTCCCAAAATAGCCAAGATTCCTACCAACAATTAGACATAAAGCCAACAGAGAAACCAACACCCTTTGCCACTATTTCAGGCCAAAGAAAACACCAAGGTTTCTTCAATCAAATGGGCTACTAGGTCGAATTTGGTACAAGGAAGTATAGGAAAGATGAAAACCATAAAGAAGAGAAAAAGGACCAGAGAGCAGAGAGAGGCTTTTCGAAGAAGAGGGAGAGGAAGTGTCTGAAGGAAGCCAAACCCACGTGAAATGTCTAAACCATCCAATTTATCTCCCAAGAATTAATCTCAAACATCCAATTTATCCAAATGCCAAAATTGAAAGTAGCACAAACCGGGTCAACCCAATGGGTTAGGAGAACCACAAAAGCCTACAACATAAACAAGGAGAAGGGTAGCAACCCAATTCTCACAATCGCAAGAACTTATTAGACGCCGAGTACTTTAATAATCTTCTTCTTCATTAACACCCTCATCATCAACTTCTTCGTACTCTTTCTCGAGACCAGCAATATCTTTACGAGGTTCACTGAATTCACCTTCTTCTATTCCTTCACCAACGTACCAGTGAACAGATGCCTCTTGGCATACATGAGATTGAATTTGAGGTTGATGCGTGAAAACACTTCAACCAATGCAGTGTTGTTGCTAATCATACACACGGCTTATTGCACCTTGGCAAGCTCACCCTCGGGTATCACTGCAGTGTTGTTGTTTATCATGCACACGGCTCGTTTCACCTTGGCAAGATCACCATCCGGTACCACTGTTGGAGGCGACAATTAATACCACACTTGAAGCCAGTGGGGCACCTGTAAAATCCGGACAGGGAACTTTTGGGCAATTTCATGGCGTGTACTCAAAAGTTTATGGTAAAAATAACTTGTAAATGTATAAAAAGCCTTCCTAACTGTATTCAGGAGCAAGGTCAATATCCAATGTAGGTTAATGTATTTTTATTCTAGTTGCACTAGCCGGCAAAACCAATAAAAGAAAATGATGGTAAAGATTCAATAATTTTGATAATATATATATCCGTCAAATAAATAAATTTAATTATGTGAAATAACTATGTTCATCAAGTCAGTTAGGTTCCAATTTTTGCCAAATTATATTGCTTAGATGATTGCATAAGAGGAATGTATAGAGGTTATGTTTTGAACTACCAACTTGTTAATGTTTTAAATATGTTTAGGGTACATTATGAATTGCATTCAGATCAAAAGTACTTCTGTATCGTGAAATTCGAGATTAGGGTTTTGAGTGTATTTCGAAATTACATGGATGGGGTTGGAAACAAAGGTATTTCTCGAACCAATGAATTTTAAGATTAGGTGTTGAGAAATGACTATGCTGGTTACTGAGATTTTACTAAGGGTGTGTTTAAGCCACATTATTTTGGAAGAATTTATTTTGGAATAATAGGTTGATGGAGAATGTATGGTTGAAAAAGAAAGAAAAGTTATTGATGTGATGAAAAATATTATTTTATTGAAAATGTGTAGTTGAAAATGAGTAGAAGAATGAAAATGAAAATTTTAATGTGTCTCAAACATGGGCTAAATTGAACTACTATTGTTCTAATGTGAAGTTCAAATTTAGCTATTTTTATAGAGCTATATCCGATGTATGTTAGAAATGATCTCTATTTGAGTTTGCATAAACCTAATTTGAAGCTTCTTTTTTTTTTTTTTCTCTCTCTCTCTCTATCTAATACCAAATGAGCAAATTAAGAACAATAACAAGTGTTTGATGCATTTATCTTGTTTTATAATGAGTTTTAGCTTAATTGGACTTTCTTTTGTCATTACAAGGAAAACTACATTTGTGAGAGGCATCTTGTTGAATATTTATAAAACTTATGAAATTTCATAAATTGTCAGATCTCTACGTCAAATCACCAAAAGTATAAATTAATGCAGAACATGCCCAACTTGCAATCTCCTTTTTTTGTTTGGCTTCTTACTTTCAATCTTGATTGCCTTCTTCTTCAATTTGATTGCTTCAATTTTTCTTCTTGATTCTTGAATTATTTTATGCGTGTTCTTGATCTCCCCCTTCAATATGTTTTCTTTTAATTATTCTTATATTGATGGAATGATGAGAATCATGTATCAATAACCCTACTTATTTATAAGGATACTTACACAAATACCCTATATTTTGGGGTCATTTTGAAAAAGAAAAAAAATAATAAACTTGGATTAAATGGCAAATGGTTAAACTTGAAACTATTTTTTATGCTCAATTTAAAACTCAATTTTCATCTTTTACCAATGTTTCTACACATTCTACAACGCCGCAAGAATTAGATTCCACTTTCTTACATTGGATTAGACCATCATCTCCATTTTTCACTCATATGCCTATTAATGGATATATATCCCACATCGATAAATGATGTTGATAGAGACCAATTAATAAAGATTTTGAGATACTCCTCTTAATAAGGTTGACCTTTTAAAATGAAATCTCAATTCTTTATATGGTATCAGAGCAAATTCTTAATATGGTATCAGAGTATACGAATTTCAAGATTGGTCTGCTCAAACGAGCCACCATCTTGTGGGGGCATGTTAAGGGATAGAATCTCATATCAAATAAAGATGTAAACATAAAACCAACTTATAAAGGATTGAGTTACTCCTATTAATAAGATTGACCTTTTAAAATGGAACCCTAAATTTTAACATAGTATCAGAACCCATTATGTTCCAATGAGCGATTCGATATCGTTAAGACTCTAAAATGAGCACGTGGATTTCAAAATTGGTCTGCTCAAATGAGCCACCATCTTGCGGGGGCGTGTTAAGGGATATATATCCCATATCGATAAATGATGTTGACAGAGACCAATTAATAAAGATCTTGAACCACTCCTCTTAATAAGGTTCACCTTTTAAGATGGAATCTCAATTCTTTACAATGCATATTGGTTGGTCAACACCACCACGGCCGCCCTATTGATCCATTAATCATAAGTGATAGTCGAGATCACCTTTGTTAATCCTAACTCATGGAAGCACAGGCTACAAGAAAGCGACTATCATTATCTGAAAATAGGAAATGAGATAAGGTAACTTGAAGAATTATGAATTCCATATTGTATTGCATATAAGATAAGAAACCAGTTTATATATATATATAAGGTCTTTTCCTTCCATCATGTTTAGATTTAAAAAATAAGGTTTGCATCCAAAGTGTTTATGAAAATGAGAATGTGAAAAAGTGACCTTTTTTCTCTAAAAAGTAACAGTATCTCATTAGAGCAATTAACTAGAAACATAAGTATGTGTCTAGTTAATTGTTTCAATGCAATAATGTGATTTTTTTTTATAGAAAAGTAACAAAAAAACACATTTTCACTTTTTCATTTCGCAA